AGTCCAGTCGTACTATGTAGGAAAAAGAACGAGTTTCCTCCTTCGGATAAAAGGGCTTGGAGGTTTTGCTATCGATTACAGAAAACTAAATAGTATTACTAAATTTCCAGTTTACCCTTTGCCGGTTATAGACGAGATCATTAGACAGATCAAAATCGACAAGATATATGTCTACTTTGGACTTAACGTCTGGCTACTATCAAATAGCTATGAGACCCGAAGATATACACAAAACCGCGTTTATAACAAAATCGGGCACTTATGCATTTTTACGCATGCCCTTTGGGTTGTGTGGGGCCCCATCAACATTCCAGAGAGCTATGGACATTGTTCTAAAGCCTGTCCTAGGAAAATCAACTTTAATTTATCTAGATGATATAATTATAACGAGTAGTACGTTGGAACAACACATTAATGACCTCGAACAAGTTTTTAAATTATTAAAAGAGGCCGGTCTTACAATTAACGCCTCAAAATGCAAGTTCGCAACTAAAGAACTTAAATATCTCGGTTATAAAATTTCGCAAAAGGGTATAGAAACGCAAGATTCAAAAATAAAAGCTATTAAGAATTTCCCACCGCCCACCCCAACACCGCCAAGAAACTTTCGTCTTTCCTTGGATTATGTTCTTACTATCGATCTTTCATAAAAGATTTCGCTAATATTGTTGAACCACTCTTAGTAATCAAAAGAAAAAAGAGTAAATTTACGTGGACAGCGGAAGCTAACACAGCTTTTGAAAGATTAAAAGAAGCGCTTATTAATGCCCCTGTTTTAAAATTCCCTGAGGGGGACGAAAACCTGGAAATTGCGGCAGATGCGTCAGACTATGCGGTGGGTGCGGTTCTTATGCAAAATAACCATCCGCTGGCATTTTTTAGTAAAACATTGAATCAGACACAAAGGAATTATACAGCTACAGAAAGAGAAACATTAGCCGTATTAATGGCTGTACACAAATTTCGAGTTTATTTCGGCAAATCGCCAGTAACAGTCTTTTCGGATCATGCGGCTGTTGGTAGACTTTACTCGGGGAAAAAACCTAACGCCCAGGTTAATAAGATGGGCTTTTAAAACTCCAAGAATATAATATCACAATAAAATATAAACCGGGTAAGGAAAACAATGTAGCTGACGCACTTTCTCGTATAAAACTGGACGACGAAGGAAATGAACTTAAATGCGCTGTGTTGACTTCAAAAATTTTAGATTCTAGAGATACGGTTATTACTGAACTGAAAGCTGATCCTGAATTTGGAAATATCTATGCTTATTTGAAAGACCCCGAAAGCTTTGAGCACACAGATATCGATGCGATAAGAAATAGAGCAAAAAACTATGAAATAATAGATAATTTATTATTCTATACGAAAACAACAAACGAAAATCTTGAGTATAAGCCAGTCATCCCAGCCTCGCTTCGATTAAGCATTTTGAAGGAGTTGCACGAAAAAAAAACAGCGGGCCACCTCGGGGTCAGAAAGACTATAAAAAGGGTACGCGAGGCGGTATATTTCCCGCAATTATACAAAATAGTAACGGCGTATGTCAGGTCCTGCAATCAATGTCAGTTAATAAATGATATTAATTACAGCCCGGCCGGGTACTTAAATAGCATTCGCGCTACATTTCCGAATGAAATTTTAGGCATAGATCTCCTTGGTCCCTTCCCCCAGAGCGAGTTAAATAAAAATCGTTTTCTTTTAGTAATAGTAGATCATTTTTCAAAATGGATAGAAATTGTTCCACTTAAACGCGCGTCAGCCAAAACAGTCGCAGATGCATTCTTACACAGATACATTTTAAAATACGGTGCACCGATAAAAGTCATTAGCGATAACGGAAAACAATTCATTAGTCAAATATTTGAAAACATATGCAATGGACTTGGCATACGCCATATCAAAATGGTTCCGTATAGACCACAGGCTAACATAGCAGAAAGAGTTAATAAAAACATAGTAAAAATAATTCGCAGTTACGTGAGCACACATCACAAGCGCTGGGATGGCTACATAAATGAATTAGCTTATGCTTTAAGAACGGCACATCATGATACTACGGGAAAAACTCCAGCAGAATTATTTTTAGGCAGAAAGTTAATTACGCCTTTAGATAAATTATTCTTTGTGCAACAAAGAGAGCAGGAGTTTAAAAAACAACAAGATGTGCAAAAGTTGATTGATCAGGCGCTTAAAACCTCGGATACGGCAAGAAATAGACAAAAGTTATATTATGATAGAAAAACGCCGTGAAGCAGATTTTAAAGTTGGGGATAAAGTATTGAAGCGGAAATTTTCTTTATCAAGTGCCCCAGACAATTTTATGGCAAAGCTAGCTCCAAAGTTTGAAGGCCCCTATGTAATTCAGGAAATCAAAGGGGTAGTATTATATCTTAAGAACGACAGAGGGGAAATCTGTAAAGCAAGTCCCGACCAGGTGAAAAAATACTATAATCCAAATGATTTTGAAATCCTTAAAAGTTTCTTGCAGGACTCAAGTCTAAACGAAGTAGAAGAATCAGAGACTACAACAACTATTCCACCACCCAAGAAACAGAGAACTGAAGAGAGACCTAGCACTTCTACAACCCGGACGTCGGTATCAAAAAGAAAAAATGATTTTCAAACTCCGGCGTTTAAGAAAAACAAAAATACAGATGAACCGGGTAAAGAAACCGTGGTAAAGAGAAAACACCACCTACAAAGGATAGCAGGAGAAATTACACATCAAGGAGAACGCGCACACGGCCACAGAGTCAGGTGCCAGCAAGGCCGCCGTTCCGGAAACTGAAACGCCAACAGGAGGCACAAAAATACGACGAACAGAAGAAATTCAAGAAGGACTCCAGACCGGAGGACGTCAAGACCAGCCGTCCCAGGCAGAAACGCAAAGGCCAACAACCAGACGATTACTCCGTCAAGAGGCCAGCATGTAGAGGACGCAAAAGAAAGAGCAACGTGGACGACACTCGGAGATCAATAAGGAGAAGATTGACATCCATGAAACCTCTAACTTGGGATCAATTTTGCCAAAAACGGATGACGGAGTTTCAAGCATCGAAAACTCAAAGATAAGTTAAAACCTTCTATAAATTTTTTCTTTCTTTTTGTTCCGAAATGTTATGCATAAGTACGAAGTTCTATGTTTTGACGAAAGTCAATATGTCTCGGTTGAGACTTAGTTTTGTTTTACTTTATTTAGCTAAGGCAAAAGTATTATTTTCTTTTTCTTTAAGTGTAAAAACTAAAAACAAGCATTTTCTGTTGGTCGAAAGACTAATTCTGTTATGTTAAAGCCAAAATTTGGCCGAAGATAAAAATAACTTCGTATTCTTGTATTAATAAGAATTTTACTTTCAGTGCCGCCAGCTTGGCGAAGAATGAGTAAAGTAAAAATTTATTTTCTCTTATTCATTTTATGGTAAATTGTAAAAAGCATATGTATTAAAATTTTGTAAATGTATGTAAATACTTGAAGGTTATGTAAAAGTAGAATTTAGTCTAGAAGCATAAAATTGTAGATGCTAAAAGTGAATGCTTAAAAGCAATGAAGTCAAAATTTAAGTATTAAACTGTAAAGTCATGCTTTAGAGCGAAAGCCTGCATGTTTAAAGATGAATGAGGGGGAAGTTAGAATGAATGTGTTTTGTAGGGTTCTCCACCTACATTTGAATTTTTAAGAATGTTAAAGTAGCTCATTGAGTTGTAGAATGTCGAGTAAGGTGTGTCTATTTGGTCGTTGAATTCTAACAAATCATGGTGGTTAGGGGAAGTGTTGTAAGACTAAAACACGAATATTCCCGTTTGACACCACACACGGTGGAGAGCCAGGGTAAAGTTAAATTAATGCTTGAAAAATTGAATGAATGTGAAGTAAGCAATAACTAAGAAAAACGAATCGTTTAAAAACAAAAATTTATTGTGTCAAGAAAGTGTAAATTATAATGTATGTAGAAAGATACTGATACTTATTCCTTCCAGATGCTGGAAGGAAAGACCAAGATTGATTGATGAAGTCCAGGAAAAGTTGCTGTAAGAAGAAAGCTTTGTAACGACTAACAGAATTTTAATATATAATTGTTACATAAGATTTTTTTTTTGTAAACGAGGTTCTCGCCAGTTAGTTCAGAATTAGATAAACTTACAACAGGTCGTTTGTAGGACCTGCTTCCAAGTTTTCCAAATTCTGGCAGCGGCAAATGTAGGGTTTATATTTATTTTAACTAACATTTATTTTAAGTTTAAACTATCTTTCCTGTCAAGCCTTACTTTCCCCTGGAACTGCCAATGCCAGAATATGTAAATTTTAGTAGAACGCGCAAGGATTCAAATTATCAGCGGAAGTATTCTGATTTAAATAGAGAGGAAACAAGTTCGGTATGAGATTCTCTTACTTAGCGAGCGCGGAGGTAGTTAGCGAGAATTGAAGAACCCCGCGTTGCGGCCTATGTGCTTGGCGGGAAGTAGTGGTCATCGTTCCAGTGAGCTTCAAGTCTGCTGAATTAGCAGCGGTATTGTAAAACGCGGTGAGTTAGTTATTTAGAGAGCCTCGTAGTTAGAATCTTGTCTTTATTTCCTTTCAGGTTATTATTTTTATTTGACTGCCAAGTTGGCACCGTCTGTAAGCGTCAAGAGAACGCAATTGTAATTTATTACGTTGAATAAAAAGGGACTTAAACCCTTCACAAGCTTCTATCTTTTATACAAGTTTTCACAGTCACCTCTTGGTTGCGTGCAAGTTGGAGGCGCGCAACGTTATATACTTATACAAGGAAAAATATTGTTGTTCCATAACGCTTAATGAACTAAAAACTGTCTTCAAAGACTTCACGAACTGCGTTGCTATATAGCTGCATAAAGAGTGATTGCAATTAGAAAATATCAAATTTCATAAGTGATTAAACACGTCTGAATGCACGCTAAATTTAAGATGGTATTTAAAAAAATCTATTCAAAATGCAGGTATTTGATGAATAATAAATAATTTCTCCTAATAGAAGATTACGGATATCAAGGTAGACAAATGAAGAACAAATTCATGCCGGGTACATCCAAGGCACCGGTTGTCAACTGGACAGATATCATACCACCGCCTCCAGAACATCCGCCGACAGAAATGACAACGCTACCAAGTGTACCCATTAACAGTAGGAATTTGTCTCCTGTCAAATGTGCATATCAGGCGCAGGTCAGTAGTTTTTAATCTACCGACGCTTTTTGCTTAAATTTAAGTTATTTATTCTCTGCACGTCCATCACTCTCATTAATTGGTTAAAGATATTATCACGGATTATACACATAAAATTTCGTTGAATTTTTAATCGGAGAGACGGTAATAAATAATACAAAAATTCGATAGAGTTTTAAACACTAAATGTGAGAGTAGCACACAAAGAATATCAGAGAAATTAGTTAAAGTTTGAACAAACACAAGAGTAGAAGTTAATAAATATGAAAAAAGTTATCTAGATAATCTTCTAAAGATAAATATAAAATAACTATGAGAAAATTAAAACAAATTTCAAACAATAAATACGAAGGGAAATTAGATAAAATGTAATTATTATGTATATAAGTAGAAGATAATTAATCATCCTTGAGAATTTAGATAAAGTTTTGGTTATAAATGCGAAAGTCAAGGAAAATGAATGCGAAAGAAATTTGATATAGTTAAAACAATAAAATAAATAATAAAATTAATTAAAAAAAGAAAAGAAAAGAAAATCTGAAAGTTTTCAGATTTTAAATTACGTCCATAGGGGCGTTTTTTAACGTTTTGTGTGTTAACTTTATTTATTAAATTTTGTATATGTTCTTTGCACTTAAACCATAAAATTCTGTTCAACAGTAATGTCGCAAAATAATTTTAAAATGATCATATCTTTAGGATTTCCGATACACAGTTCCGCACGCTGGAGATAAAAAGGTTTTATTTTTTTCCTGTAGAGTGTTGCCATTGCTCGCTTTGAAAACCTTGAGTTTGTTAATCAAAATTCGTTAAAGTTTTACAAAATATGAAATCGATAATAAAATAAATTACAAATTTCAAATTTGATCTTCCACATGCCCATATTCGTAGGAGGATCACGTCATTCAAAATTCGATGGCTCTATGTATCGTTGTTTTATCACAATGCGAGAAATATACATACATTTATGCAGATTTCTCATTATTTAATTTCTTCAAATATAATGCAGGACTCTAACATTTGGTGGCAACAGTTTGAAAAGTGAAACGGACATTTATAGTGATTCAATGCAAAATCGCAAAACGAAAACAATCGTCCTTCAGGGACAAAGCCCCTTTGAACTAATAAATACAAAAAAATTATACAAAGTTTTAACATTATGCGTACGAGAATAAGGCAATGAATGGAGAAGAATTTAAATATCATATACAAAACTGGAACAATGTGTGAAATGAAAAGTTTAAAGATTTAACATTAGAGATATTAGATAAAATTCAATTAATGAATACTATAGAAATTAAATATGATTTAAATAATAAACGCAATAGTAAAAAGCAATAAACATAAGAGAAAATAAGTAAACACACGCTTATTTAACTACAAAGCTTTAATTCTGAATGCACTAAATTCTGTTAGTTTAAAGCTTGCAAAAACGTTTGATTATTTACCGCAGTAAATACTTTAATTTTATTGCAAGGTCATAATTTTCTCACATTTTAGATAAAATTGCTGTATACTATAAATCTTACACGAATAATGCAAAATTTTCCCAAACAATTTTAAATGGTTCTTTATGTACATACCACTAGTGTATTTCTTTTGATTTTGCAGCTTATTCGTGATGTTTTCTAAATATAAGTTTTCTAAATATAAGGCATATGAACTATTTTATTTGACATTGTAGAGTTACCAAGGCAACTTCAGCTCAAAGCCTACGAATACAACCTCTCCCTGGAGTACACTTGGACGAAATATTGATAATGAGACCACGAATGCCACTGGAATGTTTGGTCTGAAAGGACATCAAGGACTGATGCCTCAGCGTACTCTACCACAAGGTGCTGGAATCGACAGGATATTCCAGGGTTCTTTGACATCTTTAAGGAGCGAACAGTTTCCAGGCCTCAACAGAAGAATCAGCCAAAATGGAATGGTCGGCGCTGCGGGTGAGTTGATCTAGATAACATATAAACCTTTCCGAAAAGGAAAATATGACTTTGCCAACTTAATGTTATTTTCTATCTCAATGAATTCATGTAGTAAATAAACTCTCAAGCCTTCAATGTAAGTACTTTTAATCCTTAATGATTCTGTTTGAGAACAATGGAAGCATAAAACAAGGAAAGGCAGTAACAATGAGAAAGAAGACAAATTAGAAGCGGATTGAATATAGATTTTAACAAAGTAAAATGTATCTTTGATCCCTTAGTTGAACAAAAAGCTTAAAAATATATGTCCAGTAAGCATTTTATTATTTACAAGCTTAATTATTTCCGATCAGATATTCCTTTGCAATTCAGAGTTAAGGATGAAATTGATAAATAATGTATGTGCTGATTATTGCGATTGATACGTCTAAAAAATTGGGAATACGTTTAAAAAACTTATACTTATGCACGTATCTTTGCTTTTTTCTCTGGTATTAAAGTTAAATGAATGAACTCAAAAATGCTAAATCACGATCCAAAGAGCTGTTATTATTTTGTGAAAAGGAGCACATATATAAAAAATCGATCTGCGGAAAATGTAAATTTCTTTCTGAGAAAGAATGTGATGATACATTTCGCAAAAACAATTTTAAATGAGGCAACTATTTTGTATAGAAATATGATAAAAATGCTATTTCATATGTCTGTTGTACATTAGGTAAGATTTTTGTGTAGACTTATGAATTAACTAAATTCGAACTATGGACTGATCTTAGCTTGTTGGTAGCTTCGGTTATTATTTAGAAATCACATACTTTGCATTTTGTACGTTACTCCAAAGATTAAATTTTTACGTAAATGTAGAATTGTTGTATAAATAAAACTATGCGACTTGATGATAAGATAAATAGTGCATAGCCCTTACAAACTGGATATGATAGGATAGTGGGGAGCGTCGGTAAACAGGGCTCATCTAATCGAAATTCTACTGGAAATCAAATAATCTATATTCTTTAATTATGTGTACCTTCAGTGTTTAAAAATAAATTATAAATAATGTTATATAAATAAATAAATAAATAGCTATTGGCTTCTCTAACAAAATGGAAATTACAATCTTATAAGTTAAAGAGCTTAAAAAATTGTACTTTAAAAGTCACTTTTAAAATCTTTGTGCACTCTTCAGTTATTAGATAGAGAATATCATATTTAAATCTTCTCTCATATGCAAAAATTCTGCTTTGGTAAAACACTTCCTCTCGCTCTTCCTATAATGCAACTAAACTTTCAAAGTTGCAAACTAACTTGTCTTTACATATTTTGAATGCGTTATGAATTAACTTTTAATACGTTAATATATTTTTAATGCTTTATAAACTATGTAAAATGTCAATATACTTTTAATATGCTTGTTTTAAATATCAGTGTTATGCATTCTCTAAGTATAAATATTATCTAAATATCAATAGGCTTTCCGTTTCCATTTCTTTTGAAATCGAGCACAAGTGGTGGTGATGTTCAACAAATCTACTCAGGAATAGCTGCACTTCAAGAGCCGGGAAATCCCACGAATGCAGGAGAGGACATAGAGCTGAATAGTAACTTAATTTATGATGTTTTATTTGAATCATTAAAATTTGAGCTGATGACATTCTTTTCTTGTAGTTTTTAGAAATCAAATACTTTTTAATATAAAGGTATATTATCAATAAAATAATAATTAGTACAAATAAGCAAAAGTTTATCTTGAGTGGCGTTTTCTTTAAGCTCAATAGAACTTTATCAAAGCTTGGCTTTTACAGCGGCAAATGCTGTAGAATTTACAATGTTCGGCCGAAAGAAGATAAATGGAGCTCATATTAGATTTTTCACGCCTCCAACAGTAGCTGAGATGAAGCTTTCATTCTCAAAAATGCTAGGCAGAAAAATTTCGAGAATTTTTAAGAAAGGCCATCTCCGAAAAATCTCCGAAAATAAAAAGTTATATTTTTATCCCAACAGTGAGATGTTATTGAAGATTTTTTTCACTCACTTCCTTTTGTTTAATACACCGGATATGTTCCTTTATCTTGAAGTTTAAAAAATCTGCGTGTTTGTCTTATGCATGCAAAGTCGCATTCACAAGTAATTTTATAAAAATATACATAATAAAATTCCGATGCTTAATCTTTTTGAATTTAGGACTTGATTTAATTGGCAGGTTTAAAGGAAATCAGAAAACCACACTGTTTGATTATTAAGAATTATTCTTATAACTGATAGTGATACGTATTAGGATGATGATAGGTATGAATGGTGCAGTTCAGGCGGCCCGGAGAGGAATTTTCAAAGGGAATTTAAAAAATGTCTCGTATTTGGCACTTTTTACCTCTTGCCCCCCCCCGAAAAAAAATACAATTGTAGTAAAATTTTATGGAAGTTTAAACTTTTTCGAAGATAGAATGAACCTCTTTGAATGCTCTAGATGTATTAGGACGAGCACTAAATATAGACATTTAAGAAAAGAAATAAAAAGCATTTAGAAATGAAAGGCTTTAGGAATGAATGGTTGAAGAATGGGAAAATCTGAAGTGCCTTTAAATTAGAAGATTTTGAAGAAGACCTGTTTTGAGCCCCGCCTCTTTTCTTTCCATTAGGCTTAAATCGTCTCAATTTGCGTCACATCATACTAATTTTATGTATTTCAGGCACCGTGAAGGAGAATTTTGAAAGAAATGAAGAAAACGAACTCGTATTCGATGCCTTTCCTCACGAAAAACTGTGACTGTAGCAAAATTTTTCGAAAGTTTAAATTTCATTGACATTAGAATGAACGTCTTTGAAGACACTAGATCTATTAGGGCAAACACTAGATAGAAAAAACTGATAAAAAGTATTCAGAATAATCATAAAAGAAGCTTGTTTAAGACTGCTGCCATGTGGTGTTTTTAAGAGAAGAATGAGATATATATCGGTTCAAATTTTAATACACAATTTCCTTTAGTATTCAGATACTTTCACGCCGCAAGAAGTTCAGTTAATTTCATAATTACGATATAAATTACATACACTTGTGAGAATTAAAATTTTTTTCTCATACGCAATTATCATAAATTGGATACTATTCATATTAAAATTTTCATTAAATATAAATGAGCGTGACTAAAAAATTTAAGTGGAACTTCGAGGAATTGCTGTATTTAAATTCGTTTTGAGTAAGTAATTGTGAGTCGTTATATCCATTCATTATATTATATTTATATTTTTATACTTTTAATATTCCCTTAAAAGTGCAAGACATACTTATAAATGAAATGATTATTTTAACTCAAAAATACGGTATTTGATATGATTTCTTTGTAATTCTTGGGAAAATATAGCTTTAATTTTTGTATGCCTCTCTCTATTTATTTGTATACCCTTTGTCAAATTTTTGAGAATGTATTTAAGATAGCTTTGAGTGACTAATATATATTTACTATATTTTTCTAATGACTTCTTTCAAACAAATATCACAAGTAATTATTATCGTTATATACATGCATTGCCTTATGGTAATAACAACGTGTGTTTTTGATTCTATGTAGCTCATTTGAGCGATTAATTACTGGACGAATTCATTAATGGCCTTAATTAAGTGCGATATGTGCAAATGGTGAAGATATATTTTTCCAACCATTGATTTGAAAAATAATACTTTTTAAATTAACACTATGTCATGTAGGGACTTCGCTGGCAATCATCATTCTCAGAATAAAACTGCAATTACTTATTAAAATACATCATTTGGCTCTCCAGTATACTATTCAATTCCTTCTTTCAGTTATCACCCTGGTTCAGAACCACTGTGAGAGAATTTAAGAATCGTGAGTATAACGTTTAAATCAATAAATCGCTTTAGGTGACTTTGACGTAGAATGTTTACGTAGAATGTTACGTAGAATGTTTACGTACGTTTGACGTAGAATGTTTTTCGCTTAGATTACATAGGATCGGTGGATACAAATCTAACTTCCATGTTAAAAATTTTTGAAAAATACATTTTTTTAAACAATAGTTTAAAAATTGAATTAGAAATAAAAAAAGGTCACTTGTAACATTATAAAATTTCCGCAATAAATTCACTTAAATGGAATTTTAGAAATTATTTGACATTTTAAATTTAAAAAATTGCTCTTGACTATTAAATGTTTCAATGCTTAACATAGATTTCGTCTTGTAATTCCATTAAACACTACATTTATTAGAAATAAAAAAGTCACTTGTAACATTATAAAAGCTCTGCAATAAATTCACTCAAATGGAATTTGGCATTTTAAATTTTAAAAAAATGCTCTTGACTATGAAATATTTCTTTTTAGCTTAGATTACATAGATTTCGTCTTGTAATTCCATCCAAGAAAAAAAAATACTTGAAACATTTAAGCTTAATGATTTCTCTCTTATAAATTTTGACTTTAAAATGAAATGAAAATTTACTGACTGTAAAACTAGCTTGTAAATGCTCTTACTGAAATCCGATTCCGACAGTTTTAGATTCATTGACGGATAAAAATCATGGAGAATAAAACCTTTTATTACTTGGTCTTATTTATTAATTATATGCAGCAATATTAACGATTACATATAATTGATATTTTATAGTAATTTAAATAAATGTGGACACTAACACATGACACTAAAATAACATGGACACTGACAAGACAAATGAAGATTTGTGGCTGATATTTGAAAGAAAAACTCTAAGAAAGATTTTTGGACCGATGGGAGGAAAAATGAACTGTGGAGAATATTAAATAACCATGAAATCTATAGAAAATATACGAACCTGAGGTTGTCAAAAATAGTAAAGGCACCTCGTATTAGATAGATAGGTCATATTTATAGATATGATGATGCATTTCCTACTAAAAAGACAACCTTCTCAAAAATAGAGGGGAAGCGAAGAAAAGGAAAATGACTCACTATATGGCTGGATAGTGTAGAAAAGAATATTAAACTGTTAGGGGTAAATCGATGGGAAACTGTGGCGCTGGAGAGGGTCACATGGTGAAAACTTGAAGAGGCAGCCTTGGCCAGTAGCACGCTGTAAAGCTCAAGAAGAAGTTAAAAACAAGACATTTTGTTTCATTAAAAAACCTTTTTTCGCTAATTTACTGTCAGCTAGCTATAAGAATGACTGAACTATACCTTAAAGCTAATTGCAACGATAACTACTAAAAGTTTTAATATTCCTTGTCCTTAAAGCTTAATTTTTCATTTAAGGGCTGAAAATGCTGACTAATGAAAGAGAATCCATAACTGTAAAATTCCATAAAATTAAAAATGTAATATAGTGCTGATGCTCATTTCTTATAACGATTAAAAATTACTTAAAAAATAGCCTTATAATTTAGCAGGTATCAAAATTGATGAATATTTGGACATTTTTTAATATAGCTTAACGGATTTAGTGTTTTGATAAATTAATGTATACTTTTTATTATATGTATTTAATGTATGTATTTGTATGTTTTTATTATTACAAAATGCTAAATTTTAAAAATCCGTCAATGTTCTAACGACACACAGAACTTGTTGGCCTTAGTAGTGGCCAATGCCTAAATTAGCTAGTGCCCGCCATTGGAAAAAACAAAAAAATATTCTCTACTCAAACCATAATTATATGCACACTTTATTCGAAATCTTAGTAATATTTTTGTTTTCTTTTCATTTTAAGACTTGTACTCCAATCGAATAAGTATAACGGATCAGAGTTCTAGCATAGGAGGCAATGGATCGGCTTCTGAAGAAAATCACAACGTTCGAGGATGCACAAATGAGTACAGCAACAATTTCTTCATTGCAGAGTACAACGCTGGTACGTAGAAAAATGGATTCCTTTACATGATTCCTATTTTAACATTTATAGTAAAATTTTGATACGCATTCTATAAAATTTTATGTATAATAATGTATTCTAAATCCACATATTGAATACGTAAAATTATATAATCCAGCCTTAAACTGATGCTGATTACATCGAAGAGTTCTATGATTCCCAAAGGAGACAAATAAAATTCCCTTTCATATAAAAGAACAAAAATACTCTACATTATTTAAGCCTATATTTTATTCTTTAAAAGAATGATTTTTAATTTATACCTTGACTATGACTTATGTCACACACCTTTGAAGTTAATAAACTTTTTTTTAAAACACGAAAGCAATCAGAGCTCATATTTTACATAAATTTCATATTGTTGAGCTTTTATGTCTTCTATAAACTGAGGTTTTAAATTTTAGAATATATTTTTAGCCCTAAAATTTAAAATCTGGACCTCTGTTCTCAAATAAGGCAGGTTGTTTTAGATTCTAAGGAATTTTCAACTTCTTTATCGCGTGTCTTCGAGATGCTATTGACAGCAATCTGGAGACCCTGAGTTCAGGGAGGGCATTGCTGATTCTTTCTTTGTTTCTCTCCTCAAAACAAATCTAATAACTCTACAGAGTTATGGTATACGTACGTACAAACACCATGGAAAAGTCTCTTCTGAACCCATTTTAAATTAGTTTTATAATTCGTTTTGGGAAAAAGAGTGCTTATTCTGTCCTTACGTACAAATGTCACGCAAAAACATCGTTTAATTGCATTCGATAGCGATCAAAATAGATATTTTCGGTGAAATATGGTAGCCAGAATTTTTCGAGATTACAATACGCCCTTTACTTAGCACAAGGAAGTAAAACGGGGAACAGGCCGAAAAAGTTATGAATTTTTTAAATTCTTTAATTTTTCAGTAGTATATGTAGATATATACATACATGTATATAAAATTAACAACCATAGATTACACATTAAAAAGCTTTCTTTCAGTTCTTCTAATTCAAAACTAGTTGAGAAAGAAACGCAGCATTTTCATTCGCCCAATTTTTATGACACCACAATTAATATCCTAAATGTTATTTCTGATCAAAAACCAGGTTTTTTAGAAAATCGCTTCACCTTTTCAAATATAGGACTTTCTATATTCTTTCTTCTGTTAAGAATAAGTAGCTCTTATTCATATTACACACGGTAAAAGACTTCAAAACATCCATGTAGCCAGTCCTTTGTTTAGGATTTGAATCTGATAAAGAGAACTGAGTATATAAGAGTGAAATTATTGTTTATGGAGTAACTGTATTTGCTTGCAATGAGTTTAAACATTCGGGTTTAGCAGCATTTCATATTATGAGCAAACTTTTGGAGATTTTCCTCCCCGCGCGGTTGTGTCTATTTCTGTCTTTATATATATATATATTTCTTGTGCCCTTCTTAGGCTGTCAAATAATAAAAAATTCATAAGCAAAGAAAATTTTAAAGCATCATCTACTTCCAAACAAAATGTACAATGAAAAAACAAAAAAAGACAATTCTATATATCCCGTTCTACTAGACCGATTGATGAAATTCAAATTGCGTTTTTATGTCTCGAAAGTGCGTGCGACTTGGGATTAGATTTATAAACATAGCGTTGTTATAATATAGGTATTTTGACACAAAATCGGACTTTTTCTGAAATGACATGCCAATGTTTTTTCATATTTCGATTCTACGACTCAAATTATGCCTAAATATTAAAGGCGGAATTATAACTATAAACTAAACTATAAACTATCCTTGACAGAATTCTTAATTTATACTAACATTCTTACTTTCCTTTTCTTTTCATTGATGCACGAGAGGGAAAAAAAGTCCATTGTTTAGTTTTTCAAATAATTTTATCAAAGTGCGTAAACCACATTTTCTTCATTATCGCTTATATTAAATATGCCAAATTTCAAAACGCGCAAAAATGTAAATTCTCGTATATCTTAGGAAACTTTGAATAAAAAAACTCGAAGAAAAAACTTTTTGCGAGTGTGCCTAAAAATACATCTACTTTAAGATGATGTTAAAAATTTCATAGGTTATAATACAAAAATTTTTTTCTAAAGCTTTATAAAAAATATTTAAAAATCCAAATTTAAAAAATAAATCGTAAAAAATGCGCGAATTATATTTAGGCTTAATGTGCGGATTAAGCCTAAATTTCGAATTCTATAAAAAAGAGATATTAATAAATATATATCAAATTCAATTAACATTGAGGAGCTGAATTTTTAGAACTATTATTTTAAAAACTAACCGTGCGATTTTTTCAAAACTCGGCAGTTTCGCATAATTTGAGTCGTAGAATCGAAATATGGAAAAACATTAGCATGTCATATCAGAAAAAGTCCGATTTTGTGACTAAACAACGTTATATATAAATCTAATACATATCCTAAGTCGCGTTTTCGAGACATGAAAAACGCAAGTTGAATTTCGTTAATCGGCCCAGTAGAGCAGGAGATATAAGAACTGTCCCAATTTTTTTTCGCTATGTACTTTCACATTTCAGTTAATTAAGAAATTAAATGATTCCTTTAATTTTTAGATAGATCATATGCAGCGTTTTAGAACATTTTAACATTAACTTATACTGTATTAGAAACAATAGGAGAAATATCTCTCTAAATCTTCTGTCCTTAAACCTGTATTTTTCCCTGGAGCATCAAAAATAAAACTGCAGACTAAAACTCGAAATTAAAGAAAATAAATAAATTAAATTAAATTAACACTGCAGGGCAAAATACATATTGAAGAGCATAAAAAATAGGGCTTTTTGCCACGAGAAGTACAACAGTATTGAATTGCCATTTTGATTTATTTTAATTTTTTTTTCATTTAAATCAATTTATTTCTAATTCTACTCTACAGTATTAGTGTTTTTTTTTTCAGAAAGAACTTAAGCATAGAGTATCTTCTTTCATTACAACTAAACTTACAGCAGCTTTTGACACGTTATTCAGTTCCAATTTTTTATATGAACTTACTAACTTTTCAGACTTTTAAAATTAAAAACAAAATATATTCGACTTTCAGCATGAAACAATTAAGGTAAATTGTTTCTCGTAATCGAAGTTCGCTCAAAAGGGATAAAAGTTCAGAAATATTTAAATGAATGAACTTTAATGAAAAATAACTTGAGCAAGAGGTTCGAAGAGATTAATTGTTTTTTTTTGCTCAAATGACAGAATTTTATGTTTTATTGACAGAATGTGATTATATGGTATGAAATTTCTGCTTGAGGAAAATGAAATAGAAAAAAGACATTTAATGAAAAGAATCTAATGAAATCATAGTCCCATTAAAGACTTATCTAGACGCACGCTTTCTGCATCAGAGGGTTTTCCCTGTGTGAAACATTAAACCCCGCAAATTTTTCCTAGAAAGTTCTCCACGAAACCATTTACTCCTTATAAACAATATTCGTTTACTTTACTTTAATCAATTAACCGAACAACTAACCATAAGCAGGTTTTAAAGAAGTGAAAACAAGTAAAATTTATTTTAAAACCAAGTTTTAAAGAAGTGAAAACAACAAACAAACAAAACTTGCTTGAAATCTCTGTAAATTAGTTTTTCCACACTTTTAATGGTCCGAAGCCTCAAAGAACAGAAATAGGATTTTATTTCACTTTCTTATATCCGAACCTCTTATAATAAGAATCGATTATTCTATAGAAGAATCAGGATACATTACAAAAATAGGCTCTGGTTCAATACAATAATTTTACAATGTTTTAAATTCTGTGAATCCAAACCCATGTACTGAACTTTAGAAAAACTACATTCACAAAACTTTCTTAAATATCTGTAATTTCTGACAGTTACCTTGTAAGAATTTTTCTTTTTAAAATAAAACGTAATCATTTAAAAATATGGACGTATACTTTTAAAACGATTAATAGAACGAATCATCATTTATATGAAATCTTTTTTAATCAAAAGGGACATTAGTCTGAAAAGCGGTTTTACGTTGTTTCACTTTTCATTTGAATTTGTTGCCATTCGGCAAAATATAAGATATTTATCTTTCACATTTAATTTGAGAGTTACTGATTAACAAACAAAGCTCTTTAAAAGCAACAGATGCAATTCTTAAGAATTTTTTTTTCATTTTAAACTGATTTATTTCAATAAGAATGCATTTAATCCATGATATATATAATTAAAAACATTAAATATTTTCATAGAATTACAATACGTATTTTTTTCACTTTTCAGCTTTTCAGATATGCAGATGATATATAACGTTTCCATGTTACTCTAAATGTATATTTATCTAGTATCTCTATAAAATGTTTCCCTGTTCCACCTGGGCCATCTCTATTGATAATCTCTACTTGAAAACAATATTAAACTTTAAAAGAGCCCTTTGGGGCGACCGTTAAAATCTGAACTCTCAATTTTTTCTCTTTCTTTTCTCTGCCCCTCTCTCCCGAATAAAACGTTCCAGCTGCATTTTCGACACATTTTGCTTTTAAAAGGAGAAAACTGCTTATTGGTCATAGCAAAAGAAGAGAAATAATTCAAATACATGCTCTGAATTTAATTCTTTAAAAATACAATGCGAAATCTTCATTTCGGTCCTAACTTCAGTTGTTGATGCTAAATATCTGTTATATAAATATACGGTTGAAAATGTGTTGAATAATTTACTCCATGAAAATGGGAGATTTTTTTAAAATTTATCTTGAAATGAGTAACTTCTTTCGATTTTTAAATTAATATTAGAGGTTGATTATTACAATAATTTGAATTGCAAGATCTAATGCATTTTTATTATCTAGGGAAAATATCTTCTTTTTCAATTTTTAATTTAAAGTTTTTGCAAAATGTCTCTTGTTATTTTAAGTATAAAATGTCCTTCCATTTTGACGAATTATTAATTATATTACATTGTGAAAAACAGGTAGAGCTCAAACTACGCTGAGAAATCGTTGTTCAAGACCTCCTAGTTCGTACAGCAATGACGGAAACAGTGGCACTGTTCCATCAAGAAACTGTCAATTGAAGCAAAAATGGAAAGAACCAGAAAACAATGAAAAGCAAAATGGCAAGTATACTATCCAAAGAATAAACATTTATTTCCTTCTCTAATGCACCGTATGCTTTGAGGGGCGGTTTTCGTGACGAAAAGAAACACATTGCCGAAAAAGAATATAACGAGAGCAGCTGCTTTTGATAACGATTCGCGCTCATCTCATCCGTAGCTCCAATAGAACATCTGTTGTCAAACAAGCTACGTGAATGAAATATAATATGTTTGTATAATGAGGACGTCACTGGAAAATTAAAAGTAACTCTTGCTATTCAAAGCAAATGAGCTATATTTTTATAGAACTTCATTTTGAGTTTATGATGCACATCCTTAAATAACAGAAATATCTCTCGTTACTTTATTTATTTTTCTATGATATATATAGTATTCGTAAAATTGCTCAAATAGATGCTATGTTAGCTATGTTAATGTTACTTACGACATTAACGATTAAAAAAAAGACGCTTTTGGGGGAAATATTGGTACAGTCATATATGACACCTTTACATAGAAAATAATATTAAAATAATTTTAATTTGTGGATTTAAGATGTTAAAAATTTAATTTACGAATCATCTTCAGAATAAAAAATAGTATTATTTAAAGTGATGGAAAATACATAAATCATATTTTACATCTTGGTTCAGAATACGATACGCTTCATTTTTTAACGCTTCAATAAACAATGAAATTGCAAGAAGCTAAATAAAAACTTTTATCGCAGAATATTTTCAACACAAGCACCAGAATTTCGTATTGGCACACTATTCTGCGTAATGGAAATCAGCACAAGACGTTGGAATTATACGTGCAGAAAGAAAAATGAGATAGATATCTATTTTCGAATAGTAAGATAATAGTACAGGAAAAATAACAAGCGATGTACAGGAAGAGAAGCAAGAGGCTATTGTTAATACGGAAAAAATTATTATACAATGCATTAAAAGTTGCAAATGTTTGATATGTCCATTGCTTTTCTGAATCACCAATCATTCTAAGGATACGAAGAACACACTATATAACGTCTACGATGGAGAAATAATGAATAATAACAAAATGACGCATATTAGTTGGTTTTTCTTATGATACTATCCCTTATGTCAATTTATGTATCAAAATTATTCTAATAGCCTGGGACATTACCCAAATCCAGTGAAAAGTAACCATTGGTATTATATTAGATGTCCATATAATTTCGGTAAAGTTAGGCCACTCGATCACCGATATGATGTTGAAGCAAATGTTTTAAAAACGCTGTCGCCACATTTATGAGGTTCCATGTTGTAACCATCCGGTCTTCTCCAAATCAGGAATATCATGCGTTTCGGCAGTAAGTAACCGTAAGTTTTGGTATCGAATCAACAAAGTTCTTCGAGTAAAGCTGCCAAGTAAGGTGAAATATGCGTCATCTTTATTATTAATGCACAATTCAGGAATTTCTAAGAAAAGGTATATCGAGCTGAGGGATTCTATTTCCATAGCATTTGTGTGGATGAAATGGGTACTGGAACGTGTTCAGTCTCGACAGTAGAAATTACAGCAGAGTGGTCCTTGATAGAACAAGATTGTTCTCATCACATCAGGAATTTATCCAGCGTAGTGTGTGACAGCTTTAATGAATCTTTGCTGTGACAGCAGCATCTAGTGAGGAGGCCGCCACATCGCTTTCTGTTACATAGGCAACCTGTGACTTGCCGATTAAGTTGTACACAACTTGCTTTGAGCACGGGCTCTTGCTTGAATTATGAACATATTGAAATTGACATGTTGCTTCTTATTATTGGAAAAAGTCATTTAATGAAGTTTCACAGCGTTGCTTTGAGAAAATCACATTCTTCGTTTCCGTGGAAGTGCGTAAATAACACAGACAGCGCGAGAAATGCGTTATTGTTGGAGGAAAAGGAGCAGGGTGGTGTGAAGGATGCCCTAGCAAGCTTCAACTATGATACATAATTGATATGCAAGTTCAAAAATGTAACATGCAGACTAATATACCTATTTTAATAGAGTTTATGCTTATAAGATAAAAAGATTAAAGCCACAATAAAGCTGAATAAGTATATTTTAGTTGGCCGTCAATTGTGCCATCTCTTGATAATTTCAAGGGACACTATGGTTTCTCAATATAATATTTTAACGTTTTACGCTTTTTTATCAAGCAAAATCGAATACTATCGTCAGATTCAAGCACTCACATTTAAATTTCTGCGATTCAGTTATATTAACTATAACTGTGAAATGGTTCTATACTCGTTTTCATACATTCTGACTATCATTACTCTATTTCATCTGCAAAAGTTGAAATAATTTCCTCGATTTCCGCTCTTCCGAGCTCTTTGTTTGTTGTTACTTTAAAACTGTTATGTGCATTGCTTCTCTTCAGTTCATTTCATATTAGGTTTTATCTTCCTAGCAAATTCTGCATAACTTCTTTGATTTAACAAAAAAATATTAATTTAGATGAAACTCTCTGTTTTTTTATATGTAGTTAAGAGAGCTATACCAGATTTCTTTAAAATTCCTAGAGCTTTTTATTTATAATCTGGTTTATAATCTAGATACGATCTCTTCCTCCCTTTATAAAAGCATATCTTCTAGGAGCGTCTTTTTTTTTTTTTCTTTGTCTAAAAGTGTATGTTGAATCTATGGCTATGTCTGTGTCTGCAAATGTTTTCTTCTAAAAGAAATAACAGGTTTTAAGAATACATCATATAGCAGATGATCAACTTTCAGATTCAGGATCAAAGATTTATATCATTAATTAATGCTTTATTGATAAGAAAAATATCTATATATATAAAACAAAATTTTTAAGAAATAATAGCTGTTGTCAAAAACATTTTGTTAGCTCGGTACTATTAAAATTATATTCAGTTATCCGTACCGCCGTCCCGCCAAATTAAGAAAAGCTGCATTCAACTTAACTGCCTTTAATTCGAATTTTACTTTTTCTTAATAGCTTGTGCAGCCTGAATTTAATTGAGGAAAAGAGGGAAACATTTCCCCGAACGTGCACATAAAATTATTCTATTTTTTTAGCTCACGCAGGACAACTTATATACGATGACTGCGAAATCTGCAATAAGAAATTAAGACAACTTCGAAAATTGGCGTATAACAGTTAAGAATATAAGAAAATGTATATAGTAATATATAACATCTTTTTCAGAGAGTGATTCATGTCTTGCAACTAGCAAGTATTATACCCGAGAGGTAAGAATCATCACCATTAATAATGCAGTTGGCTTAGTTCCGCATGGAATACATTTAGCTTTTCGTTTAAAACAATTTAATGGCAATATGAATATAATGATATGCATGTAATTAAAATAAAAATGCAATGCTTCCCATGTTTTTTAATGCATTTAAAATTTGTTGTCTACGTACTTTTATTGATTTCCCTATTATTTCGTCAGAGATAAAACAAATTTTCATTACTTGTATTATTCACTGCTTGTCAAAAATTACATGAAGTTAAAATTTTTACACGTGGAACATAATGTTTCACTTTTCCAGTAATATATATTACTTAATATGAAAGGTACTTGAAGAAATTTTATAAAAAAATATTTCTGTTAGTTCTATTTAGGATTAAGTTAGGGTTAATAATTTTTTATTTCTTTTCAACAGCAAATTCGTTTAAATTAGTTTACACTCATTTGCAACTGAAATATCTTTGATTCCTACGATTGCCGCCCTATTTCACTGGTTCTGTGCTTTCTAACTAATCAAACATTTGTGTATAATGAGTATACTTAGAAATTATGAGTATACTTAGAATGATACCCATTATGAGTATACTTAGAAATGTAAATAAGATGTTTTTGTACATAGTGAAATTATTTTACTTTTATTGTTAACTGCTTAGAATAATAATAATAATATAGACGAAATAACGAATGTAAAAACACATCGTAGGCACCACGCCAAAACCTAGTCAATTTTGCAGATATAAAGCACGTTTAAAGGTTTAGCATGGATTTGGTTTAAAACTAAAACGAGTTATGACTTCTACATATAATTTCTCATATATTTAGCTTGTAGAATGTGCACAGCATTCCTTTTTAGAGTAAAACAAATAAAAGTAAAAAAATTCTGAAAGCTTTCAGATTTTATATAATACCCAAACGAGCTTTTCTATTTTTAAATACATACACATTTTGACAGCATTTGGGTAAAGAGCATTTGGGTAATGCCACATTGTGCTAAAAATATTTAAAAACAGCATATCTTTAGAATTTCCGGTAGACAGTCTCGCGCACGGGAGATAAAAATGTTTTATTCCCTACAAAGTTGCCACTGCTCGCTTTAATACTGTTAAGTTCTTTTAATTAAAAATTCGCTAAAATTTTATAAAATATGAAATAGGCAATAAAAATAAATTTCGGGCTTCTAAGTGCCCATGTTCGAGTGGAAGACTATGCTATTCAAAATTTGATAACTCTAGGTACCGTTGTTTTTTCACAGTGCGAGAAACATGCATACATTGATGTAGATTGTTCATTATTTAGTTCTTTAACTGTAAAACAGGGGGATAATATTTGGGGGCAACAACTTAAAAAGTTATTCAGACATTTGAAGTGATTCAACACAAAATACGGTTTTGAAACTGATAGCCCTTCTAGGCTAAAGTACATTTGGGCTAAAAATAGCATTCGAAATGCATGTACGTGAAAACAACTAAAATGTCGAGATCTTAGTTTCTATCGACGATATTAGTTAAGATACCGTCTTATTCTAGACATTCAGGAGTACGTAATCCAAGGCTAGGTTTTAACAAATACGCATAATAGAAGAATAAAGGGCAATATTCTTACACAAATTCAGTGAACTTTAAGGTTTACTTGGTTAAGAACTTGATTGAAAATTGTATTTCCTTCTTGCAGATGATATCCCTTCATATAATAAGCCTTCATTTCCGTCTTGTTCGAGCAGCAGTACTTCGCAAGGTAGGAGGAGGAGAGAGAAAGGAGTTATCAATGAGATATCACCGCTTAAGAATTTCGCCACTCTCTCAGAAAAGTACGGTGAAGCACCTGCAGGGACTGAGAAATCCGAAAACAAAGAGGTAATTTATCATCCTCTTAGCCCTTAGAGATAAACACAGAGAATGCCGAAAAACCGAAAACTAGTACGTAATATCAGCTCATTTATATTAAATTTAAACCGCTCATCAAAAGTGACAGATAGCATTAAAGATTTCCATCCATTTTATACTCCATGATAATATGTTCATATGTAGATAACGTATAAAAATTTAAATTATCCACTCGATTCATACTTAAATTAAAATAAAATTCTTCAAAATATTACAATTTTGGTGAGGTTTGTTTACATGAGAATAAAAACAAAAATACAGACGGAAAATATCTTTTAAATTTTTCTTAATTGTAAAGAACCTGTTCTAGATTTCTTCATCAGTTATATAAGCTGGGTATATCTGTTATCACAAGTTTATTTAAAAATCGAGTAAATAAATTTAATTTTATACCTCTTAAAAGAAAAGAGCTGTACCTAGTAAAGAACTTGCCTGTGTGATTTTAACGCATTTGACGCAACAATTCTCATTCTTCAGTGATACTCATTTTTTAGTTTATAAAGCACAAAAGAGTAACAATGATAATAAAATCACTCAAAAATTTAGGCGCGTTGAAGATCTAGGCAAATAAAATGCAAGAAACAATTCCGCCAATCTGACCCTGAGATTTACTGAATGAGGCAATATGTTTTGCATAATCTATATTAAAACGTAAAACATAATAGAAGTTTAGAACATGTTTTATGTCAAAATAAGGGAATCAAATATCACAGAAATGTAGATAGACGAAAAGAAAACATTACGAGTATTCTTACAAGAATAAAATTGTTTTGATTTATTTTTATTTCATAAATGTTCTGTTCTGTAGCGCGAGTCGCGAGTAAAGTTTTTCAGTGTTCCTAAAAGTGATGCGTACCATGTCTTTTCAATAGCTAATTTTAAGTCTTCAACCAATGTGATATCTCTTTCCACGGCCATGTATACGGGAACTTGCTAAGTACTCCCTTTCTCCTACCACGCTAATGATTTAGTTCAGATAAAAACCAAAAGCTGGAAATCCAGATATAACTCATTTAGTTCTGTCACAGAATTTAAACGGTGTTTTCAGGTTGTAATTCTCATCTTGATCCAGCAAGAAGCTCATCAAATGGCATCAAATTCTTTTTCCATATCTATGCAATAACTATTAGTATATTAATTAAGTATTTTTTGCTTATCTTCTGCAACTAACATGTAAGTATGAATTCTGAAACTAGGTAATCTCAAACCCATTAAAGATTCGCCTCCTATGTTTAAGCGCTCCAGATGGTTTTAATCGGGCTCTGATCAAGCCAGTAACTTGTCCAGCCAACTTTGGCTTATCTGAGCTCCCTTCTTCCCTAACTGTTTTCCTTTCTCTAAGCTAAATAAAACGCTTAACCATTCCTCCATATAGGATATGAATTTCTTAACACAGTTTAAACATTCCTTTTCATTACTGTAACTTTAGAAGTGGTTTATGATCCATTTCATTTACAATGAAATTGCTCAACTCCCTGATGGGTAAGTGAATTGTATTTTCACTTCCTTGTACGAAATAAAGAAAGTAGTGTAACTGCGAAAAGTTTTGAGTATCATATTTCAATGGAAATATTCATTTTGACTCCTCCCGAATACATTTGGACGATTTTCTTTTGCGTGACGTCTGTACGTTCCCACAGAATAAAAGACTCGTTTTCCAAAACGGATTGTAAAAGGGATTTAAAATGTATTCAAAATGTATTCAAAATGTATGCTTTCGTGACGTCTCTATACACGTATGTATTATAAGGTATTTCTCCCATCTTCTTGGCCTGCCTTCGTGGTGTAGTAGTTTTGCACGCTGGCCCAGTATTCCAGAGGTCCGTGGTTCGATTCCCGACGAAGACGTTTGCTCATTTTTCATCTTTCCTGCCTCCAAATAACCTAATGTCTCTACAGTATGTATCTCGCATAACACAAACACAATTAACCACAAAGCGTCAAAATTTTGTATATGGAACTGCCATAACATCTAGTTATGCACCTACCTTTTTCCATTACAATCAGCAGTAACAAACGTATATCTATCTATATATATATATGTATATATATATATACCCACCTCCTTATCCGACTTTAAAATCCCCATCCAGCCTTTATTTTCGCAATACTTGGTCGTAGTCCTATATTTCCAATTACAGAAGTTTTCCAAATAACGAAATATTTGTTGGTAATGTCACATTAAAAAAATGATTTCTGAAAAACAGCGAAGTCTACTTTTAATGCGGTCTCCCGTTTCCTATACTTATATCTGTCAAAGTTTTATACTCGTTATGAAAAAATAAAATTGTAAGAACTTTGTCTTCCATTTAACAAAAATTGATAGGGATGTTTAATTTCAGAATTTGCAATTTTTATTGTCATTTTCATCTTGCGTTCAGAATCGATTATTCAGGTTAGAATAATGCTAGGAAACTAAGTTTAAATGAAGTGCAGAAAAAAAAATGTGCTTTAAACCGTACAAGAAAGTCATGTAGCGTCCACATCAGATTTTTTAAGAAAGATCACAGCCTTGAGAACTTTATTTGACTGAGATATTTTTGTATTTAATGCTAAGGTTCACTCGTTAAGCGTAAACTTCGAAGAAGTAGCTTTTCAGCGTAATTTCTATCACTAATACACGATAGATGACACATTACGAATGTTGCAAAGCAACTGTTCTAATTTCCAATTTCAACTATATTACCTTGATAGTCTCCTTTCTACCTTCTGAACTGCACAGATTTCAGTACATTACCACGGGGGTGTACTGCAATTCTGAAACTTAAAATTACTCAAATTATTATAACGCATTTTAACTAAATAGAAGTCTTGTTTTCATTAGTATTTTTTTTTTTTTTGGTACTTTTAGGCCATACATACCTATTAATGTCTGCAAATTTAATTCTTTATTAATCCCTACCGAAAACCAACTACCCTTACCTTCATATTGCTAATACAGTAAACCCTCTCTAGGACGATGACCAACGATTCTAGAAATTTTGTGGGGGTGGTTGTCTCAAAGAACATGACTGACGGTGATTGTCAGTTTACTTTTCGATGCTTTTGAAGTTCGGTACTGAAACAATTGCGATATATCAACTTATCTCTTGGTATCATTAAAGTTTTATTATTATTATTATTATTATCATTTGCATGGACTTTTCTTCTGTTTGGAATTTATTATGCAACTTGATCTAATTCTTCACTCGAATAATTTAATAGATATTTCTATCATAATTATAACCTTTTAATTAATTTATTCTTCTATCATAATTATATTATCTTCTGTAATAATATTTCTTCTGTAATAATTCTTTATTTATTATAATGAATCCAGATTAACTTAAATCTTTACAGTGAGTTTATTTACACTGAATTACTCTCTTAAACAAATCTTCTTAATGACCCTCCGAATCAAAATCTCACTTCATAATTTCTCACATGTTTTCATGAATTCTTCAGAATATTTTCATAACTCGGTTTTGTGTCTGTTGCAATTCTGAAACTTAAAATTACTCAAATTATTATAACGCATTTTAACTAAATAGAAATCTTATTTTCATTAGTTTTTTTTTTTTTTTTTTTTTTTTTTGTATTTTTAGGCCATACATACCTATTAATGTCTGCAAATTTAATTCTTTATTAATCCCTACCGAAAACCAACTTTCACATTTTTAATCTATGAGATATTCCTGAATTTAACTCCGGCTTTATGGCAACTAGATGCAATTTTTAATTCCTTGTACGAGTTAAAGAAAATATTGCAATCGCGAAAAGTTTCGGGTTCCATATTTCAGTGAAAATATCCATGCAATTTAACAATGTTTTTGCTTGACATCTGTATGTAAGGGCAAAATAAAATACTCTTTTCCCCAAAAGCGGATCGTAAAATGGATTCAAAATGTATTTTTTTCGTGACGTCTGTAAGTACGTGCGTACGTACATATGAACGTACGTATGTATGTATGTCACGTAACTCAAAAAAAAAAAAGTATCCTCAGAATTTTCAAATTTTGTATATAAGACTGTTATAACAGGTAGTTGTGCACCTCCCATTTTGGTTACTATATATATGTATATATATATATATATATATATATATATATGTATATATGTATATATGTGTGTATGTGTGTGTGTGTATACCCACTCTGTTACCCGGCACGGTGAGTTCAAATCTTTTATCCTTGTATGTTGGTAAATTGTGCAGTTTTAAAATTAAGAGTGATTGAATTATGTTGTTCTTATGTTCCAGTTAAGGTTTTTATGCCTTTATCTGGATGCACTAGTTGTAGAATTATCACCAATTTAAAAATCGTTTAGGTTTTGCAGCCCACCAGCGGCCGAGCGGTAAAGTCGCTGAACACTGGTAGTTCGGTCCGAGTTTCGAATCCCGCGAACGGGCAGGCTGCATAGGCGTTTTCGTGGTTTTCCCCATGTGTAACGTGTATACGAGCCAGTTTCCCTTAGAAAGTCCTCCACGAAGGCATCCCTTCTCTTAGGCAGATAGTCCGTTTTGCTAAGCTTAACGAAGTTTTTTGTTTGAATTTGAAACTTAGTAAAATAGTGAGTTAAGTCAATTTGTGCACCAACTTCAGTATCTTTTTCTGAGAGATACCAAAAGTAAACTTTTAGTTTTGTGCACCGAAAAATCTGTCTTCCTACCCGCTGGCCGAATTGCTTGTTTTTGCCTAGAAACTCTAATTTTATTTCTAAAGTTTTTTGCTTAGAAAAACTATTTTTATTATTATAAATTATTTACTATAGTATAAACTATTCTAAAAACTATTTTTTACTGTATTTAGTGTTTTATGTTTTTATGTATTTTACAATTTTTAATGAAGATGTTTTGAGTTTTTATGTATTTTTGCCTTGTCACGAAGTACCGAAAAATCTGTCTTTATGAGCGATGGCTGAATTGCTTCGTTGCATGGAAACTCTAATTTTAATTGTAAAAAATTTTTAACTGTTTTTGGTGTTTTATGTTTTTCTGTATTTCACAATTTTTAATGAAGATGCTTTGAGCTTTTCGTATTTTTGCCTTGCCGCAAAGTAAGAACTGAATAGATTGAATGAGAAATATATCTCTAATGAAATTCTAGGCTATAACTTTAAATTAAATGCAGCAGAAAAATGTGTAAAACAGGAAGGAAGTCAAGGAAAAAGGCAGGCGTACAAGGAAGTGATATGTACTGTCCACATCAGATTTTTTAAATACTTCAAGCGATTAGTATTTTAATACAGATTTTAAATTTAAAGACCGAGAAATATCTTTAGAACCTTAACATTATGAATTTTATTTAATAATTCCAAAAACACTCTCTCATATTAAATATTCATTCAATGGCGTATAGCTACTCAATTTTCCTCTACTATTACTCCCTTTTTTTTTTTTTTTTTTCTAAAACAGTCTGAACACAATAAAGTATAAATCAACCATCTTATTAATTACTAACCACCTAACGTCTTCTTTTTTTTTTCGGTTTCCCAAATAATAGAACGCAGCTGTATCTACAATAACTTTTAATTATGTTTTTAAATTTAATGCTTTTAGTGCATAATTTTTATTTCTGAAGTTGACTGCTTAAAATGTACAAACTTTAAAATGGAATAAACATATAAGCTTGAGTTGTCAACTTTGAAACAAATATAATTGATTGCGAATAATTCAAAAGCAGAAGTAATTTATACTTCAGAACGTATAAAAATCATTTTCCATAAAAAAAAAGTAGATTTCCACTGAAGAATCAGTTCTTAAATTGCATATTTAATGTTTGATATATTTTAGACTGATACCAAAATTAAGATATTTTGGAGGTCTTAAGTAAATGTATTTAATAGATAGCTGTCTTTTTAGAGAAGAATACTGGAATTATTAACACCGATAATTTTTACGTTCTCAGAAATACTTTCAAGGGTGGGTCATCGAGGAGAGGTGGTTGCTACGAGAGAGTTCGCAATATTTGATACTTTCGAAGAATCATTTGTATATGGTTTCAAATATCCTATACTAATTATTAAAGAAGGTAAAGCAACAAGAATGAGCGCAATATTCATAAATGATTCAGGACTAGTTTCGAAAGTTTAAATGTAGAACTTGCTTCTTCAGCTGCAGAAGTGCATATGTGTGCAGAAGGGCAAACTATACCTATATCGATTAAATGTGATTTGTACCGAAACGTAAACATTGTAACGATTTCTTTAATTTTTAAATTACCAGTTTATATATGCAAAACAATTTCACATCTGTAAGATTGACACTTGAAAGTGCTTAGAAGAAAAATAATTAAATTTTTTAATTATTTTTCTTTTTAGGACATTAATTTATTTTAGGATAAGAATCAGTATGTTTTCTTTAATTGAAAAATCTGATGTGTACACCACATGACTACCTTGTACGGAATATTAAATTATACGCATATTTTCTTGCATTTCATTTAAACTTATTGGATTGAATTAAATCTACTTCGCCGACAGCGCATAAACCACAATAGAATAAATGCATTCTTTAAAATTCACTCTAGTATTTGTTTACCATAGCGACATTCTGGCGCTATATTCACTTAACAGTATTATATTTCGTTCATATTATAACTCATAATGCACAAATCGTTGCCACATGTTCTATTCAAATAATATAATAAAGCTAGAATGATGTATAAAAGAAATTAAGCAAAGAAAACAAAAAAGAAACTGTTTTTAACAGACGATTGAGTATTTCTCATTCAATTAATTCAGTTCTCACTTCGCGAAAAGGCAAAAATACATAAAAACTCAAAATATCTATATTAAAAATTACGAAGTAAATCTTAAACACGTATTTCCTCGAAAAAATTCCAGCAAGGATTAAGCATGATTTAATTGGCAATAAAAAAATGAACGCGTTATCTTTGTTGTTGCGAAGCTAAGTTTCTCTAGATTGGCAACAAATCCACTAATCTGCTGTTTCAAATGTAAATAATCAATGGCCGCCATAAAAAAAGGCTTAGCGGCACTTAAACAGCTTTAAAATTGTTGATAATTCTAAAAATATTGCGTGCAGATTTACTAAAGGCATAAAAACCTTAACCGAAAAGATAAAAACAACATAATTCAATCATTTTAAAGCAAAAAATGTACAATTTACAAATATATAACAGTAAAGAAACTGAGATCACTGAGCCGGGTAACAGAGTGGATATATATATAAATATATTTATATACGTTTGGTGCGGCCGATTGCAACCAAAATACGAGGTGCACATATACATGTTATAGCAGTCCTATATACAAAATTTCAACGTTCTGAGGCTACTCTTTTTTGAGTTATGCGAGATACGTACGTACGCACGTACGTACATACGTTCGTGTAGACGCCACGAAAAATTCTCTTCAGAATTCATTTTAAAGCAGTTTTATAATTTTTTTGGAGGAAACAAGTCTTTTATTCTGTCCTTACGTACAGATATCACGCAAAAACATCGTTAAATTGCATTCGATAGCGGTCAAAATGGATATTTTCGTTGAAATATGCTGCCTGAAACTTTTTGCGATTACAATACTTCCTTTTTACTTCGTACAAGGAAGTAAAAATACATGATGTATTATATAAATATCTTTAAATGTAAGGTTGCACAGATTAGACAAACTTGATTTTCAAAAGCCCATTTTGTGGAATGAAAAGCATCAGAAGTCTCATATCCTCGAGCTAGTACAGTAAAAGCTTTAATGTAATGTTCAGTTATGCCATCACTTAACTGTTTTACATGATATTTGACCGTTAAATTAAATTTTGTGCTTTCCTTTTTGATTTATTAACAAAGTCCTTTAGTGACTAAACTTCTGAGACGCAATATATATTGGATTTCTAAACATTATATTTATAAATTTCACGGCATTCAGTTCTAGCTACTTGATCAATGCATGATAATATTTATTTAATACGCAATTCTACTTAAACGAAGTGAACCATACTCATAAAATGTTTCTCATTTTTATAGAACAAATAGCATTCTAATAATATGATTAATGTGAACTGGTATTAAAATATTTAACTGGGTACCTTGATTGATATTAAAATGTTTAACCTTGTATCTTATTTTTCCTTTCTACGTTTTTTATTTCAGCAAACCGATGAGAAGAGGTGAAGAAGGTGTTGTTTTATGAAATGGTAATATATTTTATTTTGACTGATAACTGATCATTTTGCTGATAACTGTTTTCAATTAATGTTTCATGTTTCTTCTTATTTTAACATTGCAAACAATTGCTTATTCTTATTATTATTTTAAAGTGGTATTAGAATCCTTATTACAATAAAAGAAATTTTGATGACATTTAATCTCTAGCACATATCTTATTCAATATAATCTTTTTTTTTTTTTTCCTATTTGTCTTCTTAGAGTTTCTGATTATAAATGCGTGTCAAATGAATTCTCCTTGAAATAAATGCATTGAAATCGCCTTTCATATTCAATGTTGATTTATTCAAATTTTTACAGTTTTCCTATTAGAATCACCTTATGACACCAATTCCTTTGAACAGGCCTATAACAGGTCAAAGAATAAACAGCGGTTAGAAGCTGATGGGCGAATAACAGACTCTTTCATTGTTGAAACAAGACTTGAAAGATTGCTATTGAAAGGCAGATACTGAATATGGAAAATTAAACATTTCAGAATAGAAATAACATTTGCCGCCACAAATATAAACATTGTTTGGAAGTCAAGTATCTGAGATATGTTCAAATCAGCCGTCATAAAGAAAACGCGAGGCTGAATGACCGCCTTTGTTTAAAGAAAGACCATGTGTTAGGAAGCAAACTTTGTATTATATTTAGCTCGTGAAATAGTCCTGCCTTAGCACGTCGAGTTAAAGCTAAAATTGGAATTCTAAAGTATCTTTGATGCATATAACAAAGTATGGGTTCCAATATTCCGCTTAACAAATCATTTCTGAATTTTTTGGGGGGTGGGGGAAAGAAGAAGGCGAAAGATGGCCATGCTCGGAAAAGTTTGAAAAGAAAAATATAATGTTGGAAAAGATTAAAATGAATTAAGACATTGTGAATTATCCCATGTAAAGTAACTTTAAATCATGACATAACTTGACTTGTAAATCACCACGTATCATGACTTCTAAATTATCACACGTACACACGTATGTGTGTATGCTAATTTACTCACATACATGTATGATTTACAAGTTGATGTCAGGAAAATAAAGTAGCGCTGCTGCTTAGAAATAATGGCAATCGTAGAGGCCGATGGAAAGTATCTGATTTCTTGAGAATCACATTCTTAATTTCAGTTATAAAATGCAATGGGCACAATTTGTACGCCCGCTTTTTAGCCCAAAGGAGCGTTAGCCGAGAAGTGATATTAGTCTCGAGTAGGCATTTTACGTCCGTTCACTATAAGCGGCGTGTCACTTTTTAAATTGTCGCAACCAAATATTATCACCGAGTATTATATTTAAAGAACTTAAGTAATGAAGAATCTGCATGAATGTATGCATGTTTTTTGCATTGTAAAAAAACAACGGTACCTAGAGCCATCTAATTTTAAATCAAGTAATCCTCCACCCAATATGGGCATCTGGAAGGCCTAATTTGAAATGTTTTATTATTGATTTCATATTTTTTAACACTTTATCGAATTTTTGATTAACAAACTCAACGATTTCAAAGCAAGCAATGACAACACTGTACAGGGGAAAGAAAAACATTTTTATCTCCAGCGCGCGAGACTGCGTATCGTATATTCTAAAGATATGCTCATTTTAAAACTATTTTGCGATATTGCAGTTGAATTTAATCTTATGGTTTAATTGCGAAGAACATGATATTTAATAAATAAAGGTAAGAAACAAAATGTTAAAAAAACGCCCCTTTGTGCGTAATGTAAAATCTCACTATTGCAAATTAAAGTTAGAATTTCGCCTTTTCCTTCTTTGATTTACATGTTTTTTCATATATATATATATATATATGTATATAGAAATTATTACAAGTATATATATATATGTATATGAAATGTTGTATGATCTTAAATTCACTTAGTTCTTTTTAGATACTTCTACTAAATTTATATTAGGAGATACTATAATCAATATTTCTTTAGTAAATAAATTATATATATGTATATATACACGGCGCATGTATAGAATGATAAAGCTGCGTAGCTACCTTGAGATGTATAATGAAGAAAACTAATAGTTGTGGCTGAAGAAAACAAAACACAATTTGTTTATCGACACTTAATTTTCTTTACACATTTTCAATCACTTATCCTTTTGTGGGCAAACTCCGACTCACAATTTCGTATATCTTGTATCTTTTGAAACTAGTCAAAGCAGAGCGAGAAGCACACGTTTCTAATAGCAAGCGAAGCGGGAAAAGGGCTGCGCAAACAGTAACAGCGGTAGTTATAGACTTGGTTCCTTTATTTAAATTTTGACTGCGGTTGGATGAAAGCCATATGCAATCAGAAGGAGGATTACATAAGCAAGTATGAAACGAAAATACGCAATCCAGAAAAATTGCTATAAACTATTTGTAACAGAAAATGAGAGAGCCAAATTAAAATGAGGAATTAAAAGAACTAAGAAATGAAATTGGTAGTTTTCTTTCAGATTTTATATCTTACATCGGTAATCTAAGTAAAGTATGTGTGCACTGTTAAATAAATATATGTTTATATAGTTGTATATATAGCTCTAAGGTTTATATGGTTCTAAGGTGGTCAATGTATTTTTGTGAAAAATATTTTAAGGATCAAAATATAAAGCAGAAAGATTCCGTATCAGATTGGCGTTTGAAATTCAAGCCAACCATTTATCGAAGCTTGTCGAATAAATCCACATAATTTGAAGCGTAATTTGTGCAAATCAACTGGACATGTGCAAAAAGTTAGTTTCAAAATGTTACTAGCTGATGATTATAAGTATTACTTCAATCAAAATAAAAAATCGCTATCAAAAATTGGAAGTTGACACAGAGCAGGATACACTCTCATACTAGAATACCAGTTTAAAATTAGGTTTCAGAAAATAGTTTAAACCAACAAACATGCCATTCAGATTGTACGCTGAAAATGTAGTATTTTCGCCTTTGGAAAAGGTTCCAGAGAAAGTTGCGTATAAAGTGTGCATTTCTAATGAAGATTTGTTATGCCGCTTCTGATGGATATGATCCTCTTTTAGGAAGAGTATGGGTCTGACATCTAATCTATCGAAATTTATCTAATCTAAAAATCTATAGAAATTCATCTAAATTAAATCGATCAAATTACAGCACTGCGAATTCTAGATGAGGCGCTGTGATAAACCGTAGCTATTTTTGTTTCAGTTAGTGTTTCCATTTAGTGAGGTGTATTGTGAATCGTCAAGAATATGAAATTATCCTCCATGATATTATGCCAATAAAAAATTATTGTTTTAAACTATAGTCTTACGGCCGTAGAAACTCAGTAGACCGTCAAGAATATGATAAGAACCTCCTATTTCCTTTGAATTGATTGTTGACTGAATTTTTGTATTGTGATGCCGAAGTAATTGGAAACTATAATAATTGAAAATGGCACAACCTAGCTTAAGGGATTTGAAAAGTTAAAAAGTAAGCGAAAAGTTATTCAAATTTCTTAAACTAAAATTGGGAACAAAATAAATGATACATTAAAGGGGCACAATACTGACGATGATTATTTAGAAGACTAACAAAATCAATTAAGAAAGAAAGCTAATCAAATCTTTCAGCTAGATTCTAAAGTACTGTAGAAAATTTAGCTAATGAATACTTGAATCTGATGTTCTGACAAGCCAAGAATATTGCGAAAAGGCTATTCATTCCAAATCGAAACTGGACAGATACTTTTAGCGACATCAAAACGAAAGTAAAATGAATGAATTCTCTAGAATTTCTGAAGAAAGGATAAATATTAATTTTTCTAATGTCAAACTACCAAAATTTTGAAAAAAAAAAAGAACCTTTTGATGGTAAATCTGGAAACTGGCAGGAATTTTAGGAATAATTTGAAGGTGTAATTCATAAAAATAAATAATTATCTGAAGTTGATAAATTTATCTTTTTAAAACCATTCTTAAAGAGTCCCGCATGATTCTTATAAATCAACATTAACACAAAATAATTACAGTTCAGCAACTGAGCTATTTAAAGAACAATTAGGTAAAAACGAAATTGTTGTACATGTTCATGTAAACAAGCTGATAGCCTTACCTCCTGGGAAATCATGTTCAAATTTAAAAGAACTAAGACAATTACTGATGGTACAATTATCATTCAGATTTAAAATCACGAAAAGGGAATGGAGTTAAGCAATCATAGTGGAATTCTTTTTTGGATTTTGGTAAAATTAATTCCTGAAGATATTATATTGGAACATTATAATTCTGCCAAGGAAGGAAAATCGTAAATTTGCTCAAAATTTCTAGTTTCTCAAAAGAGAAATCGAAAAACACTTTTATTTCGCAGAATAAACGAAGCCTATAAAATTAAGAATTTGCAGTATAGATACTATAAGAATTCTAAATATCAACCAACAGCAGCTGTATTAAATGTTACAATTAGAAAAGGAGGCACGGAGGGATTAAGAAGGGGATTAAGGATGGCACAAATATGGAGCCCGAGGCTGTACGAATGATTCGGGTTAGTTCTAAGATCGAAACCATTCTTGTTAAATGAGACAATGAAACACCACATAAGAATGCACGAAGTAGGCTACCCGCCTGTGTTTCACATTCTGAGAAATAAATTATATGTTGATGATCTTATCCATAGTTTACAAGATGAGCATGACTTTGAAGTGCGTCAACAGGTGAGGTTTATTTTAGAGAAGAAAGATTCAACATGAGAAAGTGGCGAACAAAATATTTTTTCATTAAAGGTAGATTCAATAAGAAAACTATTACTGATAATACGTTTAATAAATTCTTGGATATTGTTGGAATTCTAAGGAAGATTGTATGAGCATTGATAACGAAAAACTGATGAATACGAAGAATGCACATGAATTCTAATTATCGAAGAGAGATGTTAATAGATCGATATTAATAGATGGCGGTATTAGCTACACTATCTGTTTACTATTATCTAAAATTCTATATTATTTTTATACAAAACATTTCCGTTAATGAAAGGCAACTTTGTCTCAGTTATCACTTGCCTATTAATAAAAAGCAAATAAGGTTTAGAAGAACCGAGAACTTTCATACAGGGGCAAAAATGCGTTATTCTAACTTATTCTCAGCTTCAATTTTTTTAAATGAAAAACTTATTACTATGTGTACAAGACACAAATAATCTTTTGATTTATGTATGTATTTTCAGGATTTGTTACTTCATGAAGGATGCAAGGATGTGGGGAAACCGCTGCCTGTCCTAGTCTTATTCGTTTAATATATGGTTTGTTGTGATTTTGTGTCGTCTTTCGCTGCCGTCTACAGAAAAGTAGTTCGAGCAACTCCTGTCACCTCAGTGCTCCCCCCCCCGGCTCACAGTGGTTAAGAAAAAAATAAGTAAATAACATATCCAGACTATACCTAGTCAGAAATTTCGCGATTATTCCGAATACGAAACTTATGTCATTTGACAGGATTACCCGATACGTTTCGATTGACCTCCTACGTAATTGTGGTTTTACAAACTGTTGAAGAATATTAACAAAACTATTATACTGTTGAAAATTTAGCACAAGTTCATCAGGTTGTAAAATCTAATAAAGGTAATGAATGATTGCTTGATTACTTAATTTTCTGTTATAATATTAACTTTACAAAATTGTATTGCAGAACGTAATACTACTATAAAATTTTGTTTTCACAATCGCTTAATTCTAAAAGTTAAAACGATTGTCACAGCACAAGTTGTGAAGGTATATATTTATTAAAGATAACCATATGCAAATTTTGAGATGTGATATTAAATTTTTAGCTTAAAATTAAAATAGGTAATTCAAACTAATAAACGTTAACATTAACGCCAATCTCAGTTTAATTTAACCTAATTTTAATGTTAATTTTACATTCGTCTTATGAACTGTGTTACACGATTTATTTTTTTTTAACTTTTTCTTTTAATTTAATTTTTTGTAACAACTTAGATTTTTACTCTGTAACAAAAATCGTAGTTACTGCCTAAACATAGCAGTTTTATCGAAAACTAATTAGTTTGGTTTAATTTATTTACTTTTATCATGCAATCCATGAAGAAATTTAATAGGATGTATAACGAAACAGCAAATAATAGCATGTTATCAACAAGTTATTGTTTTTCCGTGTATCCGTAATTATTGGTTTTATAAAACTTCACAAATTTTATTCAACGTTCTTTTATTATTAAAATTATTAGGCTATATTAAATGTATATCATTGATGAAACGCATTCATGCCAACGTAGAAATCAGTTGTTGCTTAAAATAATAATATCCCTATTATCAACAAATTTCTTGTTCTGAAATCTGTTTAAGAAGTTCTGTGATCATATTCACATAAATTATAATTTCTGAATGTCTTTGGAAGAAATAACTCCCAAATTTCGCAGAATTATAAAGCCAAAAATCGTTGAATACTGTGTTGTGAGTTAGCATCGAATAAGTAAGATTAATTTGTGGCTGTAGCTAAGTTGTCTCTTCTGAGTATTCTCATTAACACAATGCTACGAAGGCAATATTCTAATGTCCTTATAATGTTCGGAATAAAAACTTTGACTAAAAATATACGAACACTAACTAATTACAATTAAATCTCTGTTTTCAAATAAAATACATTCGTACAAATTATCTAAAATGATGATACAGTATTAATCAATGAAACGGTATTGTCAGTTCACATATATTTCAAATTCTACAATTTTCAAAAACAATTTTATATAGCTTTCAACTAATTCTTTTCAGTAAATTGTTATCAAATAAAGATACATTATTTTATAAAAACGTATCTTCTCTAATAATAATGAATATTGGATTAATTTTTATTGGAATATTGTTTCTTTTTTCAAAAGTAATGTCAAAAAAAATTTTTAGAGTCATTGTTTGACATTCAAATTTTCTTCCATTTTGTTTTCATGAAAGTTTTAAAAAGATTGTAACCTTAAATCTACTTCACATATTACTTAGAAAGACTTTTATCAATAGATATTGGCATTTTGTTATGACATAGAGTTTCATTTTTATTTAAACCAGAGTTAAATATGTATCTATTATCTGTATTTGTCATAATTGGCACAAAGAATAGGAATGTTTAATGGTATTATGTTTGTGGGAGTAATGCTAGAAGAACTGTACAGATTATTATAAAAGTTTATATTCTAGTCATCGGGTAATCCTGTTAACTAAAAGCATTGGAGAGCAGATTCTGAACATCGTACAAATAAAATTTCTGTGCATGCTTTTCTTCGATGTGTAGCTTTAGACGAAATACGAAATGGTGAAAAACAGCAGAAGTGTTTGCAAATTGTTAGGCACATATTACTTGAGGAATTTCGCAGTTTAACTGCCATCATTAACACAATTTTTGTATTCTTTATTTTTTTTTTAAATTTCAATACTGTACAATTCCTAATTATATCATACAGTTTTATGTAGATATGCTTATTTAAAATGTATTAAAACTAATTGCCAATTAAAATAAATTATGTCGAGGAAATTTTACTAGTTATTAGTTTATGTCCATTTCATCTAATACATTTCCGAAAGAATTTATTTGCATTATTATGCATAGCGGATTGTCTCAAATATCTAAATCAGAAAATGCATAGTAATTTGTAAATAATACTTTTTGGCAATGCATCTTTTTTTGCTTTCTTAAAATTAGCTTAGTTCGTGAAAACTTTAACAAGGCAAGGTTCTTTATTTCAAAGCTAAAGGTCTGATATTGAAATAATGAATGAACTAAGCGTGATCGTACTAAACCATTTACCTATTATGCACATGAAGTGTTGCGGGATCTTTTGATCAAATAAATGCATTGATTTACAAGAACATACTATTAACTCTCCATTCTGTATTACATTGCAACATCTGATGTTTAAAAGAATCAATTTTGCAAATACTTCTTGCAGGGTCCTAACCTAAGATATTTGCTGCTCTCCATTTCTGTATCTCATTGTTCTAGTCTCCTATCGCGAAGAGCGCCGTACTTACTCTAAAGCAATAGAAATGTTTTCTTTTATAGTGCTTTTGAATGCTGAGAATACAGACTAAAAGATCTAATGCTGAAGGATTAAAATTTTTACGCCATTTTATGCTAAGTCAACTGATAAATTTACCTTTTTCAAAAGGCAGACCATTCGGAATATCTTATTATTTTAACTGGATAATAAAGAATAAACACAGAACCTAATAGCAATTTATAATACTGACAAGTAGTAAAGCAAAGCTAAATAGTAAAATTTTGTATAAATCACTAAAATTTGGTTTTGAGAATGTTAAAAAAAATCAATTTCTACGAAAGTATTGAAATAAACTAAATTCGTCATAAATGATAACAGATTACATAAATGATTTCAACTAAAAAGGGAAATTAAAAGACTTAATAAATGTTTTAAAAAGTTTCAGTAATTCAATATCAATGTACCGATTTGATTATTCAGCATTATGAACATCTTTGTGACTAATTCTTGGCTTTTTGTTTTCCATGTTTTCCTGTCTGAGTCTCGCATTGTTTTTGAGGATTTCTTAAAAATTATACTTATGCAAGTTTTTAAACCTGAATAAAACTTTCATTGTTATGGATTTAATTTAGAGAAAGGAAACTTTATAATTACTTTATTAAAGGAAACTTATTTTGGCATTCAGCAATGATATTAACAGCTATTTAATATACATATATATATATATACATATAAATTAAACATAACGCATCGAAAATTAAATTTAATTTAAATCAAAACAAGGCAATAATATTAATAACTGCAACCGTGGAAAAAATGTCTAACATTGTATATATATATAGATATCTATATATAATACTTTCAGAGCAAATTTTCGTTCTTTTTTCCTTCAATATATACTATTCTTTACCTGTACTACTGCTCGGCATTTTTCATGGTCATTGTTGAATTCTAATTTAGGATATACTTATTAGACTATATACTTGAATATAACATTTTAGGTATCCATTTATGATATTCTGATATTTATTTTGAAACTTTCCACCAGTATTTGTTTTAATAATATAATAACTAAATGCTACTTGAGAAAAATATATTCACTTGAAGTCAGTATTAAAAACTGAGTACTGTTCAAGTGAAGCACATAAGATAGTGCAAACAGTCCATTTCATTGTTACAGCCCATTTCATTGTAACCAAATACTTTAACTGCACGCGGTTGATTACTGTTTTTGTAAAGTACGTAATAAAGTAATAAAAATTTGAAAATGTATTCAATTATTAAAAGAGTTAAAACTGCTATCAATAATACATTAAAAATTACTTTTGGTATATTAGTCCATGATAAATCATAATAAATAGGTAGGTTAGTACTCGTACAATTTGGAATTCTGCATTTCGAAATAAAATTTTAGTATTCCGCTATATCGTTTGACAATTAAATATTCAGGACGGAGAATTATAAAATTAAATCATTATAATTTAGAACAATAAAAGAACATCATTTTGTGAACGTTCCGAAATAACTACGAAAACGTTTGTAATAATTTTAGGACAAATCACCACAATTTCTCTTTCGCTGATATGTTATACGACTGAAAATGAATTTGATTGACTGAAAAAAGCCTTACCATGCATCAGATGTTTTCTCCACTTTTTGCATCATTTTACAAAAAGATTTAATTTTTAACTTTAACTGTGTTTAAGTGTAGTTATCAGTACAATCGAAAACAATGTTTTAGACTCATACAAGAAGAATTTTTGTACTTACGTTCTTCGGCAAAAGGTTTCCTACAAATCTCGTTATCATTATATTTAAAAATTTTGAAATCTTTTTACATATGCTTATATTCAACGCTCAATTTGTTAGATGCTAATAATTAAATTATCACTTCTTGTTAATATATTTTGCTTATTAACTTTGGAATTCGTAAGCAAATTTTTAATAGAACAGCAAATGAATTTATGACTCAATCAATTTTTTTTTAATCTCAAAAATTTTTTTTTATTTATATATATTTAACAGGACATTATTAGAATGAAATTTAACAGACTATATGATCGCAATATTAATGATCATATTATTTTACGATTCTTAGTTTAAATTCCTCCCACAATACATTTCACAGCTTATATAACAAAAATATTAATGATCTTATTATTATAAGATTCTATGTTTAAATTAATATCTTTCACAATTCTTTTTTGTAAAGTTCTTTAAAATACGTTTTCAGTTTGCTAAATCCTGATTATTCAATTTTTTTTATTTCGTCAAATTTTACATCTAAATACTTTTGTGTGATTATAAAATTTCTTAAATTAGAAAATCTATAGGAACAAAAGGATTTAGTAATACGAAACATATTGTTGCTTAAAAAGTACTCAGATAAAATTTAAAATTTAGCTTTAACTAAATTACAAATATATTTATTTTACCTTTGAGCTCAATAACTGTCTGTAATACTTTTTACAATATAATTAAATAATATTCCTAATGTTTTACGCGTAATTATTACGAATGAATGCCTTTAATGGTGTTACTATGAAAATTAAATTTTAATTTATGTCAGTCATTAAAATAAAATTTAATCTATGCATTTCACCAAAGTTTTCAAAAAAGTTTTTTGTGAAAACGACTGCATTTTATGGTATAATTAAATTTAAATTAATCACATCATAAAATGCAGTCAACAATTTCAATTTTCATTAATATGCATTATCATTCTTCCTGTCTGTCGAAAATCTACGACATTTCAGAATAGTGGAAGAGGGTGAAGACTATGCATTTTGGTAAAAAGATTTGTAGTTTGAAACCTTAGGCCTCCATATTTAATGTAAATGTGGAATGTTATGCGGCTCTCTATTATTCTCATAATTTACAACTTCTTATCCAGAGTGCAATTTAAAATTTATTTTGCATTGCTGCGTTGAATTTGTGCACATAGTTCTGATCATATATTTCGCAAATATTTTCTTGACATATTTGAAATTCCCAATTATAAAATTTAAATGAACAGTTGCAGAATTTCTGCAATTTGTTTTGGATTAAATTGCTTCAGTCTGCATATTTAAATTTGACATATCGAAATTTTGCTTTATTTAACCCACAGCACACTGGAAGGAAGTAATGTTTCTTTCATTATATGCCTTCAAATTTTTGTGTACTTCAGTTTTCATAATATAGACAACCAAACTATGTTTACTTCATCAGAAAAGCATTAGAAACGGGGGTTGCAGAAGTGAAGATAGATCTGTGCCCGTAAATTATTTTAATTTATTTTATACTGTCAGCACTGCGTTGCTACAATTTACTACTTTCTTCGTGCGACATATCAGCGTACGGATCAAACTATGCAATTGTAAATCTCGGGTGAGCTGCAGATACCAAATTTTTGCTTTTGCGACTCTTCGTTCAGATAATGCTTAGAGAGCCGCAGAATTTATTACAAGTCCTTTTTACTTGTTTATTTTTCAACTGCTCTTTTTTGTAAATATGTACATGAGAGAAATTATTTTTATACCTGTGTAAAATGAATGACAATAAACTCAGTGTATCATATACTGATGTCTTTTGGGTATTTCTTGCTATTGAACTAAAATAATTTAATCTTAACATTTTTTTCATTTCATTTTATCTTATGTACGAACGAAATCCCACAGTATTAAATAGTAGTTAAAGTTACTATTTAATACTGTGAGAAAAAATATATTTATTTAAGTATATTTGAGACTGGATGTTTTAGGATGTATTTCCTAACTCATTACATTTTTTATTACAATGGATAGCAAGACCATTGGCCCTAACTCGCACGAAGAATTAGACCGATTTTTCCCTGTTATTTCTGCATGCGAAAGGTCTGTTGACACATCTTTACAATTTGGCAGGTAAGCAGACTTGAAATGTATTCAGATAAACAACAGTTCTTTTAGGAAGATAAACAGCTATAAATAACCAAACGAGAAAAGATAAAATAGGTGAAATTCCCCTTAATGTGCGAAAGATATTTCAGATTCCAAAATCATTTGTAACAAAGCCTAGAACAATAACCATTGAGCAGTATCTCAATAAATCCATAAAAACTGAATTCTTGAATTAACTGACTCACGACAGTTCAGTCTCATTTTTGTGACCTCAAGAAGGAGGGTAAACGCTCCAGAGAACTTTGAGAAAAATAAAAAATAGCTCCTGGAGGCTTCTAAAATACTTTTCCCAGAAACTTCCAGAATGTCGCCAAATCGACTAAAAATCGTCATATATCAATAACGTGGCTACAAAATTTTTCATCAAGACCTGATAGAAGAATTGTTTCCCATATCTTCAGTGTCATTTCATCTATTATTACAGTTCAAATATCTGTGCGCTCAGAATTACATTGTTCGTCAAAATTAAAGGTAATTTAGAAAATATGTATAGAAAATTTTTTCATTTGTATGTTCACTGATCAGACTTTTTAATTAATATCTAGTTGTGTAGTTATTTATACTAATTATTTGCAACTGAAGAAAAACTTGGAAATCTGACCGTAATTTAGAGCATGAAATATACAGATTAGGTAACCGACAACGTGTTGTGCAATGGATGCATGTGAAAACTCGCGCGGATAGAATAATAATTGCATCCGAAGGCTGTTTTCAGTTATTATTAGTCTGAAGAATTTGTGAAATGACAATAAGAAAACTGGCTTCAGAATTTCGGGTTGCCACAGGAACTCAAATCAGCCATTCTGTTCTGAACGAAGGCTTCACAAAGTTGGCATTTATGAGAGAAAACTATAGGTTTTGAATCCTACTCATTTCATCTTCCAAAAGGGTCGTTTAAGGTGGTTTTGTCGACGCGTTCAGTGGAGCTAATAAAGATAGGACTGTGGACTGTTTTTAAATTAAATTTGATATAGCTTAAGTTGTCATTCTAGAAGAGTTTTGATTTGGGTCGAGCGAGAAATTCACAACTTCCCTTCTTTTATTAATTTACATTGGCCAAACTAAGAGAGCCTTAAAATTTCGCGTTAAGGAACATGAGGCATATGTTAGAAAAAAGGAAACACAGAAGTCGTCTGTTGCTCAACATTGTTGGTTCGAAAACCACACTTTCAATTTTTCTGCTGCCAAAATTATTCAAAAAACATCTTCCATTGGAGAACTGGATTTTCTAGAGGCATTTCACATTCATAAAAATCTTTCTGTTCTAGTTAATGATCCTAATTCCAATCCAAATTTGCCTTCGGCCTTTAAAGAAATTATGTTCTAGTTCTGGTTTCACCAACAGATGGCGCCACTTGCTTATTCTTGTCCAGGCTTTCTTATCTTATCTAATCATTATTTCCTATCTTGTTCCTTTGCGGTTTTGCAGCTGAGGATGGTGGTTCGGTAAAACCATCGAAACTAGTCCTGTGAAAATTTTGTAAATATAACGCTGATTTTTGTTGTTTGACTTCTGAATTAGTATTTATTTGGCGTGTTATTGTGTCTTAATTCCCTTCTTTTGTTCATCAACGGTCACGTTCCGAAGCAAGAGATTTCAGGTTTGGGTGGAATTATCAAAAATGGTCGCACCGAGCTGAATATCACTGATAAAGGTTTTGTAACCAGTCAAAGATAAGTGAATCCATCATGTAAGGCTGTTTAGGATTACTGTTGGCCTGGATATTTTTCCAAAGGATAATAATACTCATCAGCATCGAACATCTCTAGTGTCAGAATATACACTTTGGAAACATCAATCGAATAAATTCGCATGGAGTGAAACCCAATTGAGGATGCTTTAGTCGGATGCCGTGGACTAGTAACTTGTCAAATACATCCCTAGATACTGCAGGATGTGAGAAGTGCATTTTAAGAAGAGTTGTATGCAATTCCACAAGACCTGGTCAATAGTTTGATTATCGTTTTGAAATCAAGATTTGCATTTCTGTCAGAGGCGACCATATACCATATGAAAGAATAATTTATTGCAAAATAAAAGATATCGTTTTATAATCGTAAAATAAAGGAAATCCTTTTTTATTAATTTAAAATTGCCATAAATTTAATTAATTTGAATATTTCGATATTAAAGATGTACAATACAGTATATAAAATAAATAAATCCAAATACATTAAGCGGCCACAAATTCAAAACTAAATAAAATATATAATACAAGATGCATTAAATAAATAACTGCTATAATAATAGTTATAAATAAAAACAGCTTTGTAACAAAGTAAAAATAATAAACACGAAAATACACGTATTTTACAACACTGTGCTTGAAAAAAGTGCTCTTAGGACAGTTCTACGTGAAAATGTAAAATCTGTTATTTGCTCGTCTTCGACGTAATATTTATCATAACACATACACTTGCATTAGCGTTCGTGACGTTCCTGGAAACAGTGGGAGATGTCTGTTTTGATACTAAACACAGACTTGTTATCGCGCTGTTTTTGACAGTTTGTCTAAAAACATTGATCTTACAGAACCTATCTCCTTAAGACAGACAAGAAGGATCAGATGCTGAGAAATTTGTCAAATAATTGAATTGTATTACGGCAAAAATCTGTTTATGAACGACGAAACTAAAGTTTCTTTGTTCAAAATGGAGCATTGAATCGAATGTTCGAAAGTTGTTTTGATTGTATTCGCAGGGCAAAACGAACCAGATTGTTCTAGAATGACTTTTTACCCATTTCATCTATAGAAAGAACGCTAATTCTCTCTAATAGCCAAACACAATTATTTCAAGTTTCCCTCATGTGGCATTACTTTTCTGTGAACTTTTTAAACAAAGAGTAGTTACAAAAGTGTGGATGAATATAATCCGTGCAAGGAAAAAAGTTCTAATATGCTGTGTGTTCCTATTTTATCCGACAGACGCCATTTTTTAAGTAACATCTTTGTCGTAAAGGCCTGAATGTTTGTCAGAATGCCTACTTACCTTAGTAAGTAATAAATTTTTAGTTTAAGCCACATGTATAAAAATAACAATAGATTATGAAAATTGGTAGTAAAATGGTTGTAAATATGATTATTGTCTGAGATTCATCCAATGACTGAAATCTGAAATGTAATTTTAATTTCATCGCAAACATTTACGAGTATATTAATACCATAAGTGGTGAACGAAATAAAAACGACGACATTATATTTTTTTACTTAGAAAGAAGGATTAACAGCAATAACTTTTCAGATACAATCTTCAACATTAGCATTCCATTTTCATTCTTCTATTGTACATATTATACATATTATACACATTCATTATTTTATCCTTAATTCAGCTAAAATATTTAGAAACTCCTTCGGTTGGTAAATTCGCTTGTCTAAAAGTCTTAAACACCCATTAAAATATGGCAATTCAAAAATACCTAGCAAAAGTGTAAACCACGTAAATGGGACCGAAACAACCAGATTTATAATGGAATATGTATACGAAAATGGCTCTTTGAGATGGTATTAAAGCGCTGTTCAAATCGGTATGTAAGGCTCCATTCAGCGGTGATATAAATGTCATACAGCTATAGTCATAAGGCATAAAATATGGGAGTTCCGTTCCCACCTGCGAGACAGGGTCTAAGCGGTAGCCAATTGGAGAAGCTACATTTGCGCAGGCGTATATGTATATATGTCTACAGCTTTCCCGCTCTATTTTCGAGCTCAATAGGTTTCGCGCATTCGCTCTGATTGGTTGTCTCTTATAACAAGTCGGCATAAAGTTGAGTACTTCGAAGTTTATATCCAAACCCCTAAACAAGTTTTAGTGACCTAGAAAGGTCTGGTGACCTAGCAACGAGGCTTTGCTTAAAACATTTTCTATATATATTCCACCGTCCGAACGGAGTCTGAAGTTTCGTTCAGACAACGGTTTTGTCATCATAAAGTTGTGTGTCTAAAGTCCACTCATATCTGTTTAGCAGGGTTTAAGCCATAGCCAGTCAGGGAAGAGAAAGTTGCGCATACGCAAATGTGTAGCTGAGTGAAACTATCGACCGCTGTCTGCTTCGTTCAGATTAGTGATTCTTATATCAACTTATATAAAGTTAGATCCTTTAAGCAAATTCCTTAAGCAAGATTTTGCGAAGTGGCAAGGTCTGGTTGCCTATCAACTACGCTCAGTTTAAACCACTTATGATATTAAAACTGCCATCTGTATGAAGATTAAGAACAGTCCGCTGGCGTAAGTTGATCTTCCCGTGGGTATTTCAAACGTTAGCCACCATTGCCCGAACATAGACATCATTTATTAGAAGGTTTGCAGATGGAAACGGAGCAGTTCCTCAGAGAAGGTACTCAGGAATCGTTCTTTGTATCGCTCTTTATAACTCATATTTTGTTCCATGATATTAGCTGCATGTAATCAGTTCCGTCCGGTGCTATTTAAAGTAACTGTTAATCTGTAAAAAATGAACTAATAATTTTCATGTTAATATTTTATTAGGATTGAGAAACATTTATTGATGAAAACAGGTGATTCATGAACATTTTCTCAAGTCAATGAAATGAGTCAAAAGATTTTCTTCTTTCCATAAATAGCATACTTTCTCATAATATTTCATTACAACGTTGCAATAAATAACATAAATTTAA